TACAAATTTCAGATAGAAGTTGACTGTCCCAACTGGTGTTCTTATTCAGTAGATTAGGTATATATATGCACATAAAAGGTAGGCAGATTCTTTTGATACAAGACAAAACAAAACAGCTGATATGGAGTGTTAGTCTTTTATTGTTCCCGGTACGAATTCCAAAAAAGGTATTTGGATGAAAAAAATGTGAATGTCAATAAACTGACCAATAAAATTCCTTAAATTTTAATCTTAAATAAATAGATAGTAGAATAGGATGAAGCGGCCGTCCAATGCTTCCAGGTTATCCATAAAGGTTTAGCTTCAATTTACTCATGATTTCAACCATTGAAATTACTATAGTATCCACAAAACAAGCCTTCTGATATTAATCAACAAATGCTCATTGGTAACTGGTTTTAAGGGGTATTTCATGGAGATCTAATGAAAAGCAGTGACCAGTGCAGTTCAACTGGGTTCAACTGAGATAGTAATTCACTGAACGCAATGCTGGATGCGTTTCTCAATTTCGTGGATTAGTTGGAGTTAGACATTAACACCGTTTGATGCCGGCCAGCTCAGTGGTCTATAGGTTAAGCGTTCGCGCGCGAGACTGATAGTTCGTGGGTTCGAATCTCGCAAGATGGGATCATGGATGTGTACTGCTGAAGAGTCTTATACTAGTATGAAATGGCCGCCTAGTGTTTCCAGGTTTTCCATGGTGGTCTAGTTTCAGTTAACTCATGATCTCATCTATTGAAATTACTATAATATCTACAAAACGCCTCTCTGATATTAAAAGTAGAATAGATAAAATTCTATTAGAAACATATTGATGTTTGAATTCTTGAACCCTGTTAACTACTAAACGACGTATATGATGTAATCATTCTTGTTATCTTTGTAGGCATCATCATCATCAAGGTTTGACTTGATAATTTCAAATTAAATAGAGTATTGAGTAGATGATTTAAATAGAATTAATATATTTGTAGATATTTCAATGAGTAGGAAAAATAGTCTGTAGTGTGGCATTTAGTCACGGTTGACTATGATCACCACCACAGGAAGACTACGTGCCAGTTAATCGATAAGATCCCTCGTAAGCCAAATATTAGAAGGCAGTTGATGACTGTAGTCGAGATCTATTTGTTAGCTATCTCGTGGTATAAAAACAATGCCGAGATCGTGCCAGGTTACAAGTGTGGTTACTGAGCGTAACCGAATTCGTGCAAGGTCACAATCAACGGAAGAATGTATGTATTCTGGTACAGTTAAACAAACAAGTACGGTAAAAACAATCCCTGGTACAATTACTTACTTACTTACTTACGCCTGTTACTCCTCGTGAAGGAGCATAGGCCACTCACCAGCATTCTCCATCCAACCCTGTCCTGGGCAATCCTTTCTAGCTCCGTCCAGTTGTAATCCCTGGTACAATTGGTTATAATAAAAATTGTTTCCATTACACCAATCGCGTTCTCTTGATAAAAGTAGGTCACTAAAAGTCTTTCGGAAGTTTCGTAACTTAATGTAAGCCACCTCTTTAGAGAATAAATAACTGATGTTCAAACTTGTAACCAAGTGTTTAACCCTAAAAGGTAATACTACTACTTCTACTACACATATTAACTACTAACAGATACTAGTCATCTAATCCAAATCTATGATCTTCCCCGAACATTTTCTCTTACGAAGATCGGAGTTTATCTTGGTAAGATTCTTAATCATTATGGGACGTTATTATTGAGTTATTTAGTTCGTTACTTATTATCATTATAGAATCTGATACAACTGTGAGTTCACCTTCTCTTATGAATCAAGGTGCATTGGTCGTAGCCAGTGCTCACTTTCAACTCGGATACGGAAACACGTCCCAGTTTTGTCCCACAATGATGAGAGGAAAGCATTTAGGAGTTCTATACTTGAACACTGATGTGTGTGCAAGAATGATAATGATTGGTTGTCTGCTTAGTCAGACATAGATAGTCTGATAGGTGTCAGATGAGTTATATATTCCCCTATCCTTATAATCATGATTATCACTCACTTATTATTGATTGTTCATTGTTGTTGGGTTGTGCCAGGTTTTTGGTGTGGAAATATATTTACGTTGTGGTCAGGCTAATCACGTGTTGTTGATCTTCTGAGTTGTGTTGAAGTCCTGTAGAATAGACACTGGGAAGGAATCTAATGTAGAGATATTCATCTAAGGTAAATTAACGTCCCATACGTGTAAACGTAGAAACTCAACCGTTATAACATTAGACATAGTAAAACCAAGCGTTATAACAAACACGTAATCGACTATAATCATTCTACGGATCCACAGTTTAATTTTAAGGTTGTATATACGATTCTTCTAAATCTACCTAAATTTCTTCGTAGCCAAAACTCTTATCATTTATGGGCTCAAACCAGAGCTAAGCGTACAAAAGAAGTACATCCAATGGTCACCATTACCTTAGCCTCAATTACTGCATTTGTCCGTATACTTATGTCTTATATTCTCATTATTTTATTCCTAATTGCTCATGATATCACTTTATTTATTCTTTACACCTCTATAACCTTTAATTACTGTAACAAAAACAGTTTAATGTCAGATGCGTTTTTGTGGATATTATAGTAATTTCAATAATGGATATGTCGCTCAATTTCGTGAATTATTTGAAGTTAGACATTAACACTGTTGGATGCCGGCTCAGTGGTCTAGTGCTCGCACGTGAAACCAGTAGGTCTTGGGGTCGGATCTCGCGGGGGGCGAGGTCGTAAATGCGCACTGCTGAGGAGTCCCACAATAGGGCGAAACGGCCGTCCAGCGCTTCCAGGCTTTCCAAGGTGGTCGAGCTTCAACTGACTCATGATCTTAACCATTGAAAAAAAACAGTTTAATCATCTTACTACAATCACATTATAATTCGTTATTATTTGCATTACATAATCTAGTAGTATAATCTTTCTATTACATCATCTTGGTTATTCTTCATTCACATTTCTAATGGAACTAGTACTTTAACAAAACCCTTCCATATTTATAGACGATTGTACAGTTTGATAATCAATTCGTTGAAAAGAGATCGTTTCGCTAAACTGTGAATTAGCCATCATGTTTATTCTATGAGATGACATTTGCATAACGAGTCAATATATTTGTAATGCTAAAATTCATATGAGTCCAGAAGACATACTGAAAAGGTTTATATCAGAGAATAATAGAATTTAATATTTAATGTAAGATAAAGAATAAATGCAACTGTTTCATTTCGACATATTTATTTTAACACATAGATATTGGTATAAGGAGGCATCAAATAGATATGCAACCCACAAATCAAATGAGATTTGTGTGAGGGCTGGGATACTGTCCGGGTGCTCAAATCGAAATAGGTGGTTTACTTAGGGGGCCACATCCGGAGCCTTCGACCTAAAGGTCTGATCCACAAGGCAGTGGGGCATCGTAAAGAGATACAGTCCCATGTTAGTCGGTGACCAACGATTGGTTTATACGACATTTATTCCTTCAGGATACTTGAGCCCATATGCACCATTGGTTTGGAATCAGGGTTTTCCAACTCTCCTAGGTGGACTCTCCATGTCCACCAACCCGGTTAAAGCATCGGACATTCGGTTTTCGTCCTCTCAATTTCGTAGACAACATCCGTGGTGCGAGAAGGCAATGAGTAGGACTTCCCTGGTAGAGGCTATATACGCGTGGCCATGTGAGAGCATTTCGAGAGGGGGAGTGGACTCTTTCCACTGTCGGCCATGACAGGGCATTTGGTGGCAGATTTTGTATTATTTCATCCAACGTCACGAATTATATTTCTTGGTTATCGCAAGTATTCTAGGTGGTCGTTATTTATCAACATGGCATAGACTAACAGATGATGAGTTTATGGGTTGATGCCAAGTTTGATTTATTTGCCTATAGCTTAACAAGTCATTTGACATTCATATCCTCCTGTTTATGCAACAATGGTATTAAAATTTATGGATATCTAAAGCTTATAATAGTTACTGTTTTTCAATAAACTTTCCTTTATAGCTTAAATAACGAATTATTCTTAACTAGATCACTTTTCAAAGTCCGAAAGAACTGGATAACTGTATCGTTCTACTATGAGACAACTTAACAATGTACATCCAGTACCTCACGACAGGGAATCCAACCCAGGTTTTTGATCTCACTTGCTGACACCTAACCCTTTGACTATTGATCAAGAATCCAAAGGTGTATCTATCCAACTTTCACGATATTGTGTGATTATCTTCAATTGTCTGATATAAGTAACTATCTCACAACTTCTGCTTAGAATTATATTTCGAAGTTCGCTGATAGTAAGCACATCAGTAAAGTCGTATTTGTGAAGATCACTAGTATTTGACCACAAATGCCTTAGAAATATTGCTCGCATCTGCTGGGATCATCAGGTAAGTAAAGTAATAGTGAGGTTAGACTCAGAGTATTAGGGAATGATGATGGTAAATCAGTTGATGAGATTGTAAATCTTCATCGACTGAGATGGTTAAGCCACGTATTACGTATGTCTGAACACCGATTACCAAGACGCGCAATGCTGACTAGTGTAGGGGATGGTTGGAAGAAATTTAGGTGCGGTCAAACCAAAACGTGGTATCAGTCCTTAAAGTCACTAACTTCTAGTCTGAGCCATGTTGGTAGATGCAGACTACTTGGTTGGGGTCCACGTGACTATCGCAATCAATGGTTGGAGACTCTGTGTGAAATGGCTCAGAATCGATCACAGTGGCGGTGTATACAACACTCTCTGTCTTCCCTTAAACTATGAGATTAAACTTGCTTCATATCTTTCTTTCTACCAACTAATTCTTTCCTCTTGTACTATATCCGGTGTCCATGGTGTTGTACTAATGAGGTATGACAACTTGAACCGATGCATATATGTGCCTGGTCACAGGTTAGAGCTCGTTGACTGACTGACTGACCGACTGAAGATCACAACCTTCGCAATAAGACATAAGTAATTTTACATAAATATATATATATATATATATATTGTTTTATTGAACAAATAAAATCTTGGACTAAGTTTTAAAAAAACGGACTCAAACACACACCTACACACACACATCCTGTTTATATAAATTAAATTAAAAACAATTATGTAAACCACTTTTAAAACTTTTACTAAATAGGAGAGAGAAGAGAATAGAAACGAGGTAGCAACCAGAATCATTCTGCTTCATAGAAACAATACGATCAAGAATAAATTGAACATGTCAACGAATAGATAATCCATTCACATAGTTATGATAAGCACAAATAGATGAGCATTGATTTTAAACCAAATAGTACATAGAATTATAATAAGTAATGTACATGTATATAATTACATAGAGATTAGTAATAAGAACTATGGTAACAAATAAAATGTAACCACAATAGATAATAATGAATGATTGTATAGACTAAAAGAATTGAGTACAAACAACTTCTTTAAAGATCATTACTAAACACTATCAGCAGTATAATGAAAATTGAACTTGAAAAAAATCTACACATACAAATATACGTAAAAGTATAGGTGGTGGTGGTAGCAACAAACAGGTTACCAAATACTATCGTAAATATCTCAGTGTAAACAGAATGTGACAAGCGAAGACTGGCATATGATAGATATTTCAAGAAAGAGTGTGTGTGTGTGCATAGGGGGGGGACTATAAAAACCAATAAAATGATCAGTAAAAGCAGTAGTTATACATTTCAATTAAACATTGGGCATTGAGATGATGATGATGATGATTTGGACAGTGATGAAAAGAGAATCCATACAACCTTTGAAATGTATTAACGTAATTCAATGTTTATCTGTGTATCGATGTATAGACGAAGTGTGTGTGTGTATGTTTGCATGGTATATAACTAATTACTTCGTACAACATAAAATGAACAGTAATAATGACAATAATTTAAATGCTACACAATATACCTGATTTAAAGTGAATATTTCTAAAGTGTAAAAATTTCCTTAAAAAAGTTTTCTTTCCCGCTCTTCTTCTCTTCTATGGATTGAAAACACGCAGATCAAATGAACAACAATAACGATAGTGTAAAAGAAAACGAATGAACAGGGTTATTTTGGGGGTTGGGATCGAGGGGTTCGATGGTTGGGAAAAAAATTCATCAGAATATCAGTAGTTTTAGAATAGTTTAATTGGAACAATTAAAAAGATGGTAATATATTAACAATTTTGATGATACGAGAATAGATCTGATATAAAATAATTAAGTAACAAAGTCACAATAAACAATACAATGGATGTTTGATATGGTTTCAGATTGACAGTGTTGCCGTTTCTTGGGGATTCTGAAAAATAAAGAAAGTGTATTTGAAAAGAAAATTAGTTATACAACCAGTAATAATCAGATAGTATTGAATGGTTGTTTCATTTCAGTAGGAGACTCCTCAGCAGCGTGCATTTATGATATTATAATAAAGGATGAGACCAATGGTTTACAGGTTGTATAGAGAGCGTTCAATCTCTAGATAAGGAGATCTAAAAGTTTCAGGTTAGATCTACCGTGCCGGTGAAACAGTCAGTTGTTAGGATGAAACAACTGTCAAGTGCTTTACAGGTTACAGTGAGTGGTTTTCTAACTTAGATCAATCTGTGATGTAAAGTATAAAATTAATTGAGATAGTCAATTTCTTTCGTTGGGAACTATTTAAAAACACGGTTACTTAATCATATAAGTGAATGAATTACATATCATATTTTGGGCCATAATTTTAAAGACTTTCACATTCTGTTTGGTTGGGATAAATGATAAATCAATGGAATGGATTCAAGTAGTTACACTTTATGATCATAAATCAAATGAGCTATTGTTCAAGTTGCCATTCCTTAATACCGGAGGTAGTAACAGTATCAATGACCATAGAGATAATACAGAATCGAAAATATGATTCGAGAAGAAAATACAAATCAGTGAAATATAAGCAAAAAACGTTAGGGAGTTTATGTTCTCAGAATTTATGGGAAGACAAAGAATGGATACAGCATCGCCGTTCCAAACGACTTTGAGCCATGTGATTCGAAATCTTTAACAATTAGTTATGATAATCACGCGTATCCCAACCAGGTGTTAATCTACACCTATCAATATGGCTTAGTCCAACAGTCAATGACTTCGTGAACTGATGTCATATTTCGGTTTAGTTGACCGTAGCTTTTTAAGCCTACTCCCAACACCGGATAACAATGCCTGTTGAATAAGACGGTGGTTGGGCATACGTAACACATATCCCAACCCCCACATCAATCGCTTAGTTATCATTACCTAGTGCCCCATTGCTAACCAAGACATTGCTTACTCGGTGATGCCGATATACACAAGCAAGGCTTCGAAGACATCTTTGATCAAATATTAGTAACCTACAAATATTCTCCACTCTTGATGGCCATGTTTCAGATCTATAAAGTGGAATGGAGCAAACTGCTAAGCAGCGAACTCATCCTTTGGTTGAGAGACGGATATCTTCCATAACCCACAAGCTGGCAAAAACCAATCGAGCCTTATGAATTCGTGCAGAGATTTTGTCAGACACCACACCATCAGGACTGATTCGACTCTCGAGATAAGTAAAGCGATCGATGCGTTCAACTTTACTTCATATCATAAATTCAGCTAATGATGCAAGACGATCCTGGGGCAATATTTAGCATTTTAAGTGAGGAAAACGCACTTCCACAGTGTGGGGAGCTGAGAAATAACATCTGCCCTCAGACCTCTGACAGAATCTGAGATCATCTTGTAGGGGATCATCGCTTTCATATAAAAAAAACTGGCATTGAAATATACTTATGAATGAAAATAGCAACCGTGAATCTGTATTAAATGTCTTATATATTTGGTATGTCGCTAGCACTGGAACCCGAGACGAGTGCTATTTTGCATTTCGGATTCAGTTGGATTTACATGTATTGTTGATTGTTGATATTCACACTGTTATTGATAAAAAGTACCTTGTACCTGGAATAGTACGGCGTAAACAATTTAAGTAATTAGTTTAACCCAACACTAAATCTTTCAACAAATTTGCAAGTACATACAACTAAATGTTGTCAGCTACATATCAAATGTATGAAGGGTTGTTACATAACACTATACTGAAAAAATCATCTCAAGATCCCCACATGGCAACAGACACTGATCATCTAAGTTAGTTAAAAGAGTGTAACTCGACACAGTCGAAAATTTTCATAGTCATCTGTTTTTTCATGTGCTAAGAGTGAAGTCATTGTATGGATTTGGTTTATTGTTATTTGTACTATTGGAAATGAACATACAGGATCTTTGATTGTATTTCACACAAATGAATAATTTCTTACTAATCCAGTCCTGAGTCTAGATTTTCTTTGAAATCATGAACTGATTTAAGTTAAACTACCATTAAAAAACACTGGAAACATTGGATAGGAAGTTCATTTTCGTATGGGACCCTTTAGCAGTGCGTTTTCGCGACACCCAACAAGGAATTGAACTCAAAACCTTAGGTCTCGCATGAGAACTCTTGACTTCTGGATAACTGAGCTAATATACAACAGTGTTAATGTCTAACTTCAATCGATCTACGACATTATATGATTATCTTCTATTGTCTCAGATGGAAAACTGACTCATACTCAACATTATTGAACTCCACCAACCACAGCTTCTTACTTCTAAGATTATCTCATAAAACAAAACGCGCGTGGTATTTCTAATATTACGAACGACCGTGAAATTGAAAGTAAATAGATTATTTGGACGAACAGATTGGGAAACCATTTTTTAGATGTGGATTTGACTATTTTTGCTTAACAACATCATATACATTAAATTACAAAGAGGTTGACTAGTACCATCATCACGTTCATCAAGTTCAACAGCCTATCTATATAAAAGATGGTTAAGATATTCAAGCTTACATAATAATAATCTAATTTTAAAAGGATCATTCTACATCCTTGTGAACTAGTTTGATTTTCTGGATCAATACTGATAATTAAAATGTGTGTGTGTGTGTGTTTGTATGAGGGATTGAGAGAGGAGATAGTGAGGAATCATCAAACTAAAATCTTGTCCCAAATCTGATTCATAAACCATATGTTCTAATCATTAGTAAGCAGTAGTGATTAGTATTATCCAAAAAACAGAGATGTTCAATCTTTACCATTATCACAAATTCTCTTTCAACGTGGAATCGTTTATGTTGGTAACATTAGTGATAATATTCGTATGTTATGTAATTGATTGGCATAATGAATGTTGATTTGCAACAACAAAAAAAACTAAGGATATTTCCAAATAGTAATGCCAATGGTAATAACGGTACTATTCATAATACTAATACCAATACTACTACTACTACTACTACTACTACTACTACTAATAATAATAATAATAATAATAATAATAATAATAATAATAAAAGTGGTAGTAGGAGTAGTGGTGGTGGTGGTAGTAATGATAATCAACAAACGAAACTTTGATTTTCATTCTTATTTTTCCACTATCATTCACATGTGATAGAAAAATTAACAGAGAAACAATTCATTATTGAAAACTTAATTCATTCTCATAGTGCAGTTGTTAGGGGGGTGGTGGTGGTGGTGGTTGGAGGGAGTGAGGGAGAGAGAGAGAGAGGGTGGTTGAAAAAAAGGTTATTTTTGTCAAATATTCACAACATTTGAAACGGAGAAAAAAACTGTGACCAAGAGATATAGAAAAACAACCACATGATTTCATTTAATTGTTTGCATAATTCACTTTTTTTTAAAGTTTTTTTTATTGTAAAAACTATAATTTTTGGCCATATAATGTGGAAGTGTGTGTGTGTTTCTCTTAAATATGGATATCCGTTTACTTTAAAGGTTTAAAACAAAGTGATGCGAAACTATACTATGTTCGGCATTCGGTATGAATATCTTGGTATAGCCAAACAGAGAAGAGAGTATACTTGCCTTCTTGAAATATTCTAATGGAACATGTTTACAAGAGTTACAAAACCCAGTGTTGTTTATGGATTCTATGATCTAGAAGTAATAAGTGAAGTAAGAACCTATTTTGATTACCAGTAACCATATCTCCATTGCCTTGTAAATAAGATATCTATGTTATCACAATTGATTGATCACTGGGTGGTGATCAATGTCATGCGTGTCTAGTCCTCAATAGTGCAGACCGAATGCTATCGATCATGTTGCAATGTGGCCACCAGTCTAGGTGACTCGACACTGCGGGCACTATATATTGAGATTTAGATGGTGGTTAGAGGTAGTCGACAGGAAACCCTGGACCCGGGTTTCGTGCTACTTGGCACTCGTCAGCAAGGTGTACCTGTAATCTTGAGGGAACTGGTGCTCCCCGGCGGATTCGATCTGGTGTCACCCAGCTTCACAGTCAGAGACGTTACCACTGAGCTATCCGGGCCGCGACCGACGCCCTGTAGGACTGAGATGTAATCACAATTGATTGATCACTGGGTGGCGATCAATGTCATGCGTGTCTAGTCCTTATCTATGTTAAAGTTTCGAGAGTTGCCTTTGTGATAAGTCATTTGATTTGTTATGGATATCCAGATAGTAACCCTGCTCACTTACGGGTTTGATAATTATGAATAAATAAATAAAAATCCACTCATACTGCTTTCTTAGTAACTTGAATGATATTTTCCCTATCACTGAGATTAGACATTGTATACTAGATTGGAAAAAACGATTCAACCGATAAGGACATAAGTCATCATCGATTGACATGATAATAGGTTGTATACCAATCACCAACTATAGCTAATCTTTGTTTACCTCGGAATGAACAACTCGTTGATGTAAGTGAAGGAGTGCAGAGGAACTTTATCAGCACATGGAATTAATCCATACACAGAGATATATCTAATTTGAGTCATGCTGATAGGGTAGAATTATACTCAAATATATCCAACTGTAATTGTTTTTACTTTCTAGATAGAAAAGTCAATTTTTACTTTGAAGATTACCACACTCATTTGTTTCAAATTTGTGATTATGTAAATTTACAGTTTAAATTATTATTTCTGGTTGCCCTCCAGCTGAAGAGGAAATAAGGAAAAGATGGTGGAAATGGATATGAAATACATTACGCAAATTATCAAACTGCATCATGAAGCAAGCCCTAAGTTGGAATCCTGAAGGGAAGAGTAAAGGAGGGATGCCAAAGAACACATTATGTCGGGAATAAAAGCATATATGAAAAGGATGAATAACAAGAAGAAGTTAGTGGAAAGGATTGGTTCGGACATGGTTGAATGAAGAGTGCTGGTGGGCGGTATATGTTCCTCCATGAGCAGTAACTGGAGTAAGTAAGTACATTTACAGTGATTGTTAGATCAGTTGGATAAATTCCGTTTTTCATTAGTGACATTTTAGTTAACAATTATCTGACTTTTCGTACTTAACATAAAGACCTGATCTTAATTAAGTCACCATTAGAAATCCAGAAAGCTTGGAACAGCTAAATTGTCCTACTACGAAAGTCCCTAGAAGTGGAGGTCCACAACTCTACCGGGGATCGATCCAATATATGAGACCAGATCACTACAAAACTTCCATTCTAGTCAATTAGATCATTATTATAATAACAGCTGATAAGATAAAACAATGTAGCTATTCTGCAAAACGGAAAGACCATTTGTTGATCAATTTCTCTATTACCTTTAGTACAACTTAAAATTATTTCTAGAAGGAAGTGAATGACATGCATATTTTGACAATACAATGAAGTTAAAGAATCCGATCACCTAGTTAAACAATATACAAAATTCCATGAAAAAAATCACCATTATTACATTTAGCGTTCATAATTATGAAGAGGAGCGGTGAAGATTGCTGAATCTTATTGAGGTCGCTAAAGGACCTAAGTTAAAAAGCAGTTCATGATCTGAATAATATTAAGTAGTCACCCTAAACCCTAAGGTTCAAGCCTGTAGGATGTGAGACTATTTACCTACTGAAGACAATGAAATTTAGTTGCACAATGTGGCGAACTGATTCAAGTTAGATTTATAAACAAGTAGATATCGACTCCGTAGTCTAAGTGTGAACTGAAGGTTCTGTGTTGGGACTCAAGTGAGTTACTCGATACTAGGACTAACTAGTTATCCAGTGCTTCCTAGTTTTCAATGATTGTCAAACGTAGGCTCATTTGAGATCTCAATAACACTTAGCATTATTTACTATAAGCAAGTAGGTATCAAAATGTTCGTTGGTTAACCTACATAGGTATAAACTGCTTGTAGTTGTATTCATATCATTGATATAGTGGCACTATTAACGTTAGTGGCTGGATAACTGAAAGTTGAAATCATTAGTTAGTGGTGCATGTTGACATTTTAATTAACTGTATTCCGAATTTTTTTTAATGAGCAGTCTAATTAACATTATGTTTTAATAACTTTCAAATGAAGAAATGATTTCAAATGGACTACCATTGAAAACCAAGAAGTGTTGGACAGCAGTTTTTATCTTAGTAGGAGAATCTTCACCAGTGTGCATTCACAGCAGTGTATCTGAGACTCGAACTCAAGATCATCAGTATTGCATGTTAACACTTAACCTCTAGATCATTGAGGCCACATCCAGTGGTGTTAATATCTAACAGTATTTAACGATCACCTTCATACTATGACTCGAATCGATTATCTTCCTCTTCAAAACACCCAACATCATGTTTACACTCATCCGTCAGTTGAATACAAAACATCCATCCCACCACCCCCCACCGTACAGAAGAAGCACATTAATACTTCGATTAATCAATTGATTTTTAAGTCACAAAGCATCAGGTATGAATTTCAAAATAACTACTCCAATTCTTGATAGTCAAGTATATAGTAACAATAGATGTTACACAAAAACAGTAAAACTAAAACTCAGTTACATAATAAACTACTGTTCAGTAAACTGAGCTAGAAACTGAACTGAAAAAATAAATTGTATTCTCATTGAGATAAACGTAAACAAGTACAATTTGTAATAGACTTACTAATTTCTTCACCATCTAATGATAGAAGATCTTTTGGACTTCGTTGTAATAGAGATGGATTAATTTTATTTGAACCTAATGGAAAAAGTGGAATCAAAAGAAAATTGAATAGAGATATTCATTTCCAAATGATAATAGATAGTCATTTTTATAGGAGCATGAAGAGAAAGAGAGTACATTAGTACGATTTTGATCAAATAAAATTCATACCTAGTTCAAATAGCTATACAGGGCTTCCTGAATTTCATGGATGGTCTAAGATCATTATGTGATCTAAATTATAGAAATCCACGTTCAGCTTTGTAGAACAGATGAATTTTGACTAATAGTGGAATCTAAAAAGCATTTCATCCTGTTCGGGACTCATCAGTTGACTGTATTTGCATCCGATTGTTGATATTCATACTGAGTTTTAAATTTGTTATCTTTCAATTTAATCTCTTAATACCTTACTAAGTGATTTATTTAGTTCAGATAGTCATTGGGTTGTGATGAAATTATGAACTCAATTCAATTTACAATTGATACAGCATGTATATATGCCAAGGAAGACCGCTAGAAATTCCGTCATGAATATCAACAATGAAGTAATTCACAATTTTAAAATACAACTTATCAAACGAATAAGAACGTTCACTATAAAATGAAATGAACAACTATGGTATAGATCTTTGAACAGCTAAGCTAGATCTAATGAATAAAAGTTTAATTATTGAGTATAAACATATACAACTCATTTGAAGCCATTACTGATAATGATTACAAATTCATTATTATAAATTCCTAAATATTGTTTATGAGTTGTTTCCCTAATAACTGCGAAGTAGATCTTTTAAGCTAATGAAGTTGTTGATTGAAATTGTCTATGACATATTTAAGACTGAACTTCTCAAATCTCATCTTTCCATTGTGAGATAACAGCATTGGCATAGATTCTGGCTATCAGAATGAAACATTTTACTGTTGTCACACTCCTGTTCAATGAGCAATATGATTTTCTTCTTAGATCTTAAGTTCGTGCTTTTAGTCTTACCGTAAACACAGCACCGTCACAATCACTTATCGTCCCAATAAATAAGAAAGGGTCAAAATTGTCCTATGACAACCATAGAGGGGTTAGTTTAACTAATATAACGTCTAAAATACTAGCCTTGATAATTGTCACACCTAATTAGCACAACAAGATAAACACCAAATTCATAAAGTAGTTACTTTAATGGTAACGAAAAAAACTTCATATAAGGATATGATATAGGGAGAAAGTTTAAGCGAAGACAAAGAGGGTATACACCTAATTTAATGTGATCGATTCTAAGCCATATCGCCTAGAATCTCCAACCACTGGTTACATAATAATCACACAGATCTCAATTAAGTGTATGGCATACACTTTAAAGAAGTTTATCAAATCTAACCTACTTAATATACCTTCCATAATATGGTTTACATGATGAAGAGAACAAAATATAAACTACATATAATGATCAGATGTCGTCATTTAGTGCTTTAAATCCATACGTAATCTCTAAGGGACAATTTCGTTCAACCAATTCTCTTTATGTAATTAAAAAATTCATAGTTTTTGTTTAATTTTATTGTCTCCAAGTGAATGGGTTGTTTTTTTTATATTTTAATAATGAAAAAAACCGGCACACAAAAAACCCATTTCTGTCTAGAGATAAGAAATACAAACCAGATTGGTGTAGGAGACAAAATATTCATTCTTACCATTATTATTATTATTATGATTATGATCATTATTACCACTATTATCATCATTACTATTACTACTACTACCATTACCACTATTATTACTACCATTGTTACTACCATTATTGTTACCATTATTATCATTAATATTACTGTTATTATTACTACTACCACTATTATTATCATTAGTTCAAAGCTTATACCAGCTCATACATACTACATAGGAACAAGCAAACAGGTAGACATAGTGCTTACATCACCCGTTTTCATGTTTTTAACATACATTTTAAAAAAAGTAAACGGGTACAATATGAAGAAATAAAAGGATGAATGGAATCATTTAATTGCTGCTTTAGTCCTTGAAATGTAACGAAATGAACATAAAATGTTTTATTAGTTTTTTTTATTAAAAAAACAACTAAAGCAATCCTTAAATTATGACTGTTAGAAATAGAGATGTTGGAATAGACGTTGATTCAAAAGGGAATCTTAAACAAATACATCAACATAATCTGTTTCAATATGGAACTACTCGACAATGCGCATTCATCACACTCCAACAGGGAATCATACTGAGAACTCTTGACTTCTGGATAACTGAGCTAATATACAACAGTGTTAATGTCTAACTTCAATCGATCTACGACATTATATGATTATCTTCTATTACCTCAGATGGAAAATTGACTCATACACTACAATATTGAACTTCACCAACCACAGCTTCTTACTTCTAAGATTATCTCATATAACAAAACGCGCGTGGTATTTCTAATATTACGAACTGCCGTGAAGTTATGAAAACTTCTAAGAGAAATATTGAAATTGAAAGTAAATAGATTATTTGGACGAACAGACTAGGACAGCGTTTTTTTACATAGACAGCGGTGATTGTCTTAATGTGGTTCTGACTAATTCCGCTTAACAACATCATATACTCATGATTTCAACCTGTGAAATTTAATAAAATCTCCACAAAACTCATTCTGATAACATCATATACATTAAATTACAAAGAGGTTGACTAGTACCATCATCACGTTCATCAAGTTCAACAGGCTATCTATATAAAAGATGGTTAAGATATTCAAGCTTATATAATAATCTAATTCAACTGTGTTAATGTCTAACTTCAATCCATCTATGACATTACGTGACCATTTTCTACTGTCTGAAGTAGAAAACTGCTTCACACTCAACAATATTGAACTTCACTAATCATAGATTCTCACTAGAGCTACGGAAATATCCTTTTAAATTTAGTCACTTTTGGGCATGTGATATTTGTTAGTGTGTGGGTTTTATAGACTGCTGAAGTTCATTCAAATCATGAACTGATCTAAGTTATGCAATCATTGAAAACCAGGAGGCATTGAAAGAGTGTTTTATCCTTGTATAGGATTTCTTAGATGGGTTAATGATTTCAATAAAACTCAACAGTCTTCATTATGCCATAATGATATATCAAGTTGTGTTATCAGTGCGTGAAGTTTTAGACTATAACTTTGAAGTGTTTTAGCAAGTGTAAACTAAGTGGTTAAGATTCAAATGAAAATGTAGTTGGAAATAATTAGCAAAGGAATCCTGAAACTAGATTTCCTGTTATCTGGGACTCGTTAGAAAAGGCATACCTAGAACCTAGATGAAATTGAATTCTTAATCTGCATCAACTATCTCCAACGACTTAACATTTTAGAATAATATAAACAATGTTAAGTCACCTAGACTAGAGTTTGCATTCCAATATGGTCTACAGAATTCCAAGGACCAGTCAGTAATCATCGATTAATGCAATTGTTTTAATTCTATAGGAGGTTCTCAGCTGCCTTCATACTTCACTAGTAAATTTGTAAACTGTGAAATAAGAACCCACAAGACCATAGGTACGCCGGTTCAAAACTTTGGTGAACCATGGTTTTCGGACAACTATCTCTAACCATCCAACATCGAAACATATAGCACAGAATAGTGAGTCAATTAGACTAGCGTCCATATTTTAACTTGATCGATACAGTTCCATCATTACTTAAAAACTAGGTGAACATACCACCGTTAACAACTTAGCAATCAATTAATCGAATTTATTACGAATTATTATGTTGTAATCATTTGATAGTTAAACATTCTCTCTCACTCACTCTTTTGGTATCCTACTATGACATAACAATTGTTCACACCTTTTTTGTGATGAGAGTAATGATTTGATGATAATAGTCTACAGTAGGAAATACATTATGACACTATGTTAACGAAAGTTAACTGAATTATGTTTTGTGATAACAGAATTTAAAATTATCACTAACAAACGATATGGATATCTTATCAAGTATAGATTTAATGGTTAAGCTAGATCATCATGAAAAACCTGGAAGCACTAGACGACCGTTTCGTCCTATTGTGGGACTCTTCAGAGGTGCTCGTCCACGGTCCCGCCTCCGCAAGATTCGGATTTAAGTCATTATTATCATATTATATATATTAAAATATCTCCCTATCTCTTTACATATTTCTCATATCTCTATCATTTTATTCATAACTATCTCCAACATCATTTCATTTTATTTAACCCCTCTAATCACCTTTAATTACTGTGTAACCATACTATTTTACTTCATTTAATTTATAATCCATCATTAACTTATTGATTGTTTTTTATTTATTGGGACACATTATACTATTCGTATTACGTAATCCAGTTTTATAATCTTTCTATTACATCATCATGTTTATTCATTGTTTATAGGTCATGATGGAATGATTTTAATAAAATCTTGTGAAAGAGATCCTTTCGTTGAAAGTTATGTTTTTTTTATAAAGGTATTGAATTTACAAGTCGATCTAAGCTAGACCAACATTGAAAACCTGAAAGCACTAGATGACCGTTTCGATCTAGAATGAAGCTTCACAATAGTACACACAGGAACTTAGGTCTCACGAGCGAACTCTTAACCTCTAGACCATTGAGCCGGCATTCAACGTTGTTAATGTCTAACCTCAATTGACCTTCATTCACTGTCTTCAGTGGATAACTGTATCACATCTGATATGAACTGAACCTCAATGATGGTTACAGTTTTTCACTAGAACTCCCGGAGTTTCATCTTGAACCTAATCACTAGTGAGCACATAATAATGAAAATATGCTAAAATCACACAAGTGAAAACTGAACCATAAGAAATCAACATAAAAACGTATTGAATTACAACATCTACTCAGTAGTATACAGTGAATGAGAACACTAAAATACTTACCATCAAATTCAGGTGTTTTAAATGTAAATCTACTTGGAGTACTACCGAATCGACTGTTTAATGCTGATGATTTTGAACATGCATAAGTATTGCAAACACTTAAGCTAATATCATGACGTGTATCTGAACTAAGATTTGGTAAATGATGCCAGATATGTTTTAAATTGGTCGAATTCGATTGTATATGTTGAATCACTGTAGAAGTTGTATCAATTTTATCATCTTCCAAATTAAATACACGTTCATGAAGTACTGGTGAACGTGGAACAATCGAACTACCAGCACTAGATTCCTTTGAACAAAAACACAATTTAAAAAAAAAAGTGATTTCGAAATGAATTTTTTTCTCAAATAATGATTTAAAAATAACTCTCCTTTGAAATGGTAGAGAAAATTTGAAATTCAGACAGCTGTCGAATTCTTTGAGTTAAGTGGTTGTAACTCAAACCCGACTTCATGTATAGAAGTGAGCATTCTGGTTATTCTACAATTATCACATCAGTTCATCATTCCGAAGGCTTTGTTTATGATTAGTTGACTTACATTACCTTTATAATTATGTTGATTGTCATTGGCAATTGATCTCTGGATTTAATATTCATTGATCTTGTCCGTATACATTTGTAGATTGCGCTTATATTGATGTATCTGTTAATCACTAAATGATTTAAATATTATTCATTCAGGCTCGCTTTTCTTTTTACATGAACTACGCTCTGAAGATGTTGTCCAGAATGATAAAGAAAACTTTGCAATTGAACTATCTAACTCAGAATTCACTTGATGTTGTTCTTACTTGTATCTTCCCATTGTTATTTAGAACTGTAATTGATCAATCTCTTATGTTCATCCTAAGCGGATTGTCTTAAATCACAAGCATTATAAGCGAAGATGAGGATAGTGGCTAGCAGAGGAATCCGGCACGCGAATTCATCCTATTTGAGACTCGTCAGCTGGATGTAACTGCATCTCACAGTTTCTATTCACACTAGGACTCGAACTCAGTATCATTTGTTTCAAACACCATCGCGTTATCTACCAAGCTACTAAGTCCTGATAGTCACCTGCTTATGCAATGGGGTGAAGTTTAAATTTACTTGATGTTGTTTTTTACTTGTATCTACCCATTGAATAATATGACAATGATCATCATTTAATAATCAACGGTTATTTATTGGACAATCAATGTTCATTAATTTTCTATACAAACCTACTTATCATTGATAATATTGTCGGGATAAATAGTCGTTAATTTATTAATTAGTTTGTTCTTTCACACAAACAACTAAAAAACATGTTCACATTTATCCCATGTAAATGAAGCCACAGAGAAAAAAAAACAAAGAGAAGAAGAGGGATAATTTCAAACTATTCTCTGTTGTTGTTGTTGTTCTTTTTTCTTTCTGTTATCATTTAGTATGATTATGATAAGAGATGATGACCTATTGACTCACTCGTACATACACATACATACAATCACATATGAATTTACGGTATCCAGCTGGCTGAGTGTATCTAATCATGAAATAAATAAATAAACGATACACAATGAATTATAGTGAATCTTCAAATCAATGAAAGTCATAAAGTCACAACCACCACAACAACAACAACTTTTGGAAAGTGACTATACAAACAGTAAAGAATTGGGAGGATAGAAAAACGTAGAAGATTAGGGAAGAACTGAAAAAAGACAAGAGTAGTAATGATAAATAGAATGTGTCTCCTTTCATAATGTACCCAACAGAAATTACTAGTCATAGGTCAGTTAATTAGTCAGATATAATAATGATAGAAAATTAATCAAGAACATGAGAAACAACAATCAGTAGGAAATTTAAACAGATGTGATGTATGAATGAAATGGAATAATTTGCCCATACAATTAGTACTACTACTATTACTATTACTACTACCAATAATAATAATAATAATAATAACAATATGTTCATCAGTGTAATGAAAACATATTGGGTAGATAAAGATAAGAACTGATAAGACATGAACATAACAATGAATTGATTGACAATGTGCTTATAGACCTGGGAAATGCAATGAAATAAGTTTGAATATACCTGAACAATCACTTATAAACATAGGCATAGTTATTAGTATAGGGCAGTGTAGATTGATGAGTTTTATTGAAAACTTAAGTCGATCTAAGTTAGACAATTACTGGAAAACAGGAAGCACTGGATGACCATCTCGCCATAGTATGGGACTCCTCAGTATTGCGCATCGACAACTCCGTCACCAAGGGTCGTGGATGTGTACATCTGAGAAATCGCATACTAGGACAAAACGGACGTCCAATACTTCCAGGTTCTCAATGATTGTTCAGTGTTAATCCGTTCGTGATTTCAATATGCACAGGTGTTATTTACTAGTCACCAAATGGCACATACAGTCTTTCAGGGAGTTGTGAAAAATTTCTAATACCTCAAAAATTAATAAAGTATGTGTTGACGATGTTTTCTAAAGTGCTAATGAATGGTTCATGATGAAACCATCCAACTCAGAGGGGAAAGCGACTCTGGAATTAAGAACTCTTGACATTCATTGGATTTTTAACATCAAGTTTAACGTCATAATTACTGCAGGTTACGTCTGTTGGAATAATTCGGTGACATATTACAATGGTTTTCATCGAATTCAAAATATTCGATACAAATGTCGAGACAGTTCTATCATGCGAAGCTGAAAATTGAAGAACTACTACAACCACCAAAAAGAGTACAAATATTTGTAAACATTTATTTACGCTGGATACCACAGAGCCGTTGACCAGGCAGCATTAGCAACAACCTGCTGTGAGAGAGAACAAACCAACTTCCAGCTGGAGAGTAAATTAGCAAAAGAAGCTGGTGGTGGATAGAATGCACACTGTGGAAATCAACAAAATTCATACCAAAAAGCAAGCCTTAACTTGGGATCCTCAAGGCAAAAGGGAGAGAGATAGACCAAAGAATATGTGCTTCCGTAAATTAAATGCAGAATGAGTAGTGCCATGTAATAACTGGAAAAGAAAGCACAACTCCAAGTTTGTTGTAAATCCCTGGTTGGCGGCCTATGCTCCAAGAAAGGCAACAGACTCACGTAAATGATGACTATGCTATAGTGGAGTATACTATGCTTATAACATAGTATCCGATAGCACACAGAAGATCATATGAAGGTAGGAGACTTCCAATTGAGCAATGGCTTAGTGGTGAACGTAGTCGAATGTCAACCAACAGATGACAGAATTTAAACTCGCTCTGTTTGAGAATTACAGTAGTAGTGAAAGTATGAATTGTAAAAACAGAGTGGACAAGTATAAATATAGAAATATTGGAATTCAAGATCTAGATGAATAAAAAGAGTGAATGTATTTTCACCATTTTGAATAATTCTGAGTCATGTCACTCAAAGTCTCCAACTGCTGATCACGGTTATCGCGCGAACATCAATCAGTTAGTTCGCTTCTGTCTACATGACTCGGGTCAATAGTCAGTGAGAGAGTAATTTAAGTAAACGGTTCATAAGGAATCATTAATTTAGAAGAATATAAATATTATAAAGGGTAAGATGGTGGTTGGAGGCACTTAACGAGAAACCCTGGGTCTAGGTTTCGTGCTACTTGGCACTTGTCAGCAGGGTGTACAAGTAATCTTGATGGAAACGACGCTCTCTGATGGATTCAATCACGTGTCATTCGGCTTCACAGTCAGAGACGTTACCGCTGAGCTATCAGGGCCGCGACCCGTACATCATTCAACATTCATTTGAAATTTATGTAATATAAAAACGATTAGAAAATGAACACAAAATTGACAAATAAAAACTCACTGTATTCGCTGATATTTCACTTATAGTAACAGTGACATTCTTTAATGGTGCACGGGAATTTGTTGTCCAATGCAATAAATAGTAATCAGCAAATTCTGTTGAATTCGAGGATAAAATTTTTGGAGGTGCTGGCTCAACTGTAACAGACATAATAATTAAAGTTGAACTGATTTAAGCATAAGAGTTATTTCGAATAAAAAATCGATGACTATAAAGAAAGACAGAGACTATACAGGGAACGAGAAAGTTAGTTTTATGAGGTCTCCATTAGTGCTGGTGAACATTATATTGGTCACTATTCAGTGGTTGATCAACTGTAAATACATCTCAGTTCAACAGAAGGTCAGTCGTAGTCCGAATAGATAGCTGGTAACGCCTCCGACTGCCAAGACGGAGTGATATAGGATCTAGTCCGTTAGAGACCATCAGTCCTCTGAATTCCAAAGACCAACCATGTTCCTAAACAAAAAGAAATCTAAATCAAGCATAGTTTCCTGTCGACTACTTCCGACCATCTAACAGAGTGAAACTTTAGATTTATCACGAAAGTAAATACTTTTGAAGGTTCATGTTGTCACTTATCACAAATAACGTTGTGTCTCGGGTTGTAGCCCACTCTTTTTGTTTTAAAGATGGAAAGATCATTCTACGGTCTTAATAACTGTTAAGAAAACAATCACAACCTTTGACTCCTTGTTGGTAGATTGAACGATGCTATTAGAGAATTACCGAATCCCTTTTTATTTTTAAATTAATAATCATCATTACTTATGTGAGAGGAGAAATATTTTTATGCTTCTGAAACGCTCCATACCTTTTGGCTTAAGGGTTTAGTTTACAAATTGGTGGTAGAACGTCAGAAGATGAAATTCCAAGGTTGCCGATATGTTTGTACGCAATTCTTTTTTTTTTCGAGATCTGGGAACATATGAGATGTACTAAAGTGTACCAATCTCTCCAGGTGAACGCTTCGTAACAACCATCTCTTTCTGAAGCTCTGAATATCTTCAAAATCTTTGGTAAAACATTAGTGCATAGTGTCATTTCAAACTGTACGGCCTGATCAATCACCATGTCAGTGTATGTATATGGCTACTAGTTATATTTACAAATTATATTTGATTTTTGAATTGAAGATATGCTTATATATACTAATCAGTGATTAAAAACAAAATAGACACACAAAAAATCTCTTACCAGTCACTTCTAACTTTTGATTTACACTGCCTAAACTGTTATTTGCTTTGCACATATACTCATGTAAATGTTGTGATGTAATCTGATTCAATACAACACGATATGCCCATGTTCCGCCTTGAGGTTTATTGGATAACATGTGTGCATCACCAACTGGTAGATCATTGCAGGTCAGTGTAGGAGTTGGGTAACCTGTTACCAGAATCTAGTATGAGAATAGAAGAAAATGGGAGGATTCTTTTAAGTAATATATATATCAGCACCATGATGATTTAGTATAGTATGGAAAGGTTTATGGATCAAAGTTCTATTAAAAATGTATGCTAGCTAGCAGCTCTGACGTACCATTAAGATAGATAGACTTAATTTCCAACTTCAAACGTGTTGGTCCATTTGTGAATGTCAAAGTAACCGAAACACATTATCTAACTAGACAGCTACCTACCAATGAATGGCTGGAATTTATTGATATTCATGTGTTAGCTGGATTGTGTAGAAAGCAGTCAGAATAACTGACAAAAGAATTGATGCACTAATCAATAAATGAATGGTAGTGTTGCATACTTACTGTGACCAGGAAATGTTCAGACATAAATCGTTTTGGCGTGTAATCGAATATCTAAAGTAATTCAATTCGCACATCATTTCATGCAGTATATTTCTTAAGTTCATTTCTTATTTTCAAGATATATGCATTGATATTACAAACCACGTTACTAAAATATTCATTTATCTGATCATGATCCTCTCCATTTTATTCCATAACTTTCTTCTGGCGGTACCGATATAAAATGTTATAATGTTATTCAGTCTTGATCAGTACATCTGGGACAAAGACTCAACCACACCAATACGTGATGCCCCAGAGATAGAAGACTTGTGTATCATGAACTACTGCAGGTGTGTAAGTAGAGAACGAGTTAATTCTTCACTCTGATAATACAGATGAGATGGATTATCAGAAAAGGGGCGTATTGTGCAAATAAAAATTAGATGAAGAACTGAAGAAAGATTTTCCCTCGTTTGTTCCCTGATTGGATTATATCTAGGAAGGTACATTAGGTCGGTTTTCTATGTACGAACCATGGAGCGTGTAGACTCCTATAGATTTTATGTACACATGCAACGTACACTTGTGACTGAGCGTATCTGTACCTATAAGTGTCCATCGGGGTGCATGTGTCTCTGACGTGTGCGTTCTGTATATACATGTATCACATACTTGCATCTACACTACGTCACATACTAGTGTAGCCGTTTTAGTTATCAACACTTTTGGGTAGTAAAAAAAGTCACGAATATGGTAGGTAAAACTGTACAATCACAGACATTCAACGTGTCCATCTACATTACATAAAGTAAAGTTGAATAGAAGTCCCTCATTACAAACGAAATATATCGAAGTAAACTATAAACTTTTCTGTCTCCTTCAGTTTTTCCAGTGCTCCAGTCTCGCACATTTACACAAAACTATTTTCATGTCACGAAAAACAAAACGGCTTTCCTACTTAGTTGATGAAGAGCACGTTGATCGAACATATTTGTATGGATGGATTTGTTTGCTGGTGGGTGGCTTATGCTCCTTCACGAGGGGTAACAGGCTTAAGTAAGTTTGTTTAGTCCTTATATTCATGTATTACATTGTTGTACATTTTAACAGTTGGAATATCAAACAAACGTCTATCGACGAAACTGATAATGATCGTTTTTCTTTAAACAAAGGCCTATAAAGGACCACATGAACGTTTTGTTTTGAATCCCTGAAATCATTGTTTGTTTACAAATATTTTGTTTTTTTAACAAACATAAATAGATCATGAAATTCTTGGCACACAAAATGTCTGAAATAAATAACAAACACTTCTGCTCTCATTTTACGACGCTACAACTTTAATCAAATACTATAGTAATCGGCGTAGGATTGTGGAGATTATTAATATTTTGGTTGAGATCATGAATCGATTTATTTTAGACCACCAGAGAATCTGGAAGCACTGGGCGGCCGTTTCGTCCTAGTATGGGACGCCTGAGCAACGGGCATCCACGATCCCATATCGCGAGATTCGAACCCAGTGCTATCAGTTTTACGCACGAACGCTTAATCTCTAGACCACTGAGTTGACCGTCATCCAACGGTGTTAATGTCTAACCTCAACCGATCCACGAAATAGTCACTAAAGACTAGCTTCGTGAGGGAATTCTCAGAGTTTGAATGAGAAGCAATGACTAGAAGAACTAATCCGTGTCGGGTAGAGGCAGGTGTCTACCTCAGTACAATGGAAGATGGTCGCGCAATTTCGTAGGTCGGTTGAGGTTAGACAGTAACACGGTTGGATGCCGACTCAGCGGTCTAAAAGTCAAACATTCGCTCGTGAGATCGACGGTTCTACTTCCGAGTTCTGCTTGTGAGATCGTGGATGAGCACTTATGAGAGGTCCCATACCATGAATAAACGGTCATTCAGTGCCTTTAAATTTTCAGTGGTAGTCTAGTTAGGATTAGTCCATGATTTCAATTGTGAAAGTTAATAACTGTTTATGATGACGTAACCAATGGGAATATTGGACTAACCGTTCTTTTTATTTAACATTGAACGCCGATCATAGAAATATGTACAACCCATAGATAAATAGAAAGGGATAGAGATTGTGTGTGTGTGTGAATTCGAAATTAACCTACTAAGAAGTTAATTCTCGACCTTTTGACCTTTAGTTACATAAATATTTATCTAATACTTAAATGTATGATCTTAATCAATAGGGCAATTGTGATTAGACCAAAATCTAATTTGTTCGGTTTGAAATACACAGGAAATGAGTCAATTAGATGAGATCATAACTAAAAACTAATTGAAGTTGATTACAAATAGTTTAGTTTATTTGTAACCCTAACCAAATATCGAGGAACAAAACTGTACCATAAATAAGTTTCAAATCAAGGATTTATCATTACAAGTTAGTTAATTGCTAATAGAAAAAGCTCGTCATTATCTATTGCAAACTAATTGTTACTTAGTAAGAGGCAATCGAATAATGGCCCTAGATCTAAGTTTTGTATTGTAAGGCATTTCTCAACTTGATCCATTTACAATCATAGGGGAAATAATGTTAAATGTTGGATTGGAACCTTAGTCAAATGATATTGAAGTAGAATTTTGTACCAAATGAACATATCAGACAACTTAAACTGGTCAACAAGATTCGATCTTTTTAAAGACGAGTCTGTAAAGGGTTGGTCAATAATCAATTAATGTATATACATATCGTGACAGTCGTATTCTACGGAAATTATGACAGCCTGATATGATAAATGTCGATCGACGGTAACATTCATCGATTCCACATATTCAATCGATGACTTTGATGTAAGATAAGCGTATGAACTGAAATTCGAAGACTTTTTTGTACGTGATTTGTTTAAAGTTTTACCAACTGTCAACAGTTTTAGAAAGAGATAAGACAACAGTTATGACCTCATAGTGAGCGAGTAGTGATTAATAATATCATATATGTCAAGTACTTCTTAGAACTGACCGAATTCTATCAAATAAGCTAGTGATGTGACTACTAGTCTAAGTGATTCAACATTTTGTTCATTATTCTAAGATGTCATGTGATAGTTGGAGGCAGTTAACAGGAAAACCTGAGCTCAGGTTTTAGTGTTATTTGGAACTCGTCACCAAGACCTACCTGCAATCTTCAAGGAAATGATACATTGTGATTGATTCAATAAATTCATCGTATAATGTCTATGACCACTCTAGTGGCCCAACAATTTGTCACCAACAGATACAATGAAAAGTTATTTGTTTCACTTTCCATAACCAAAAGGGGTATACCAAATTATTAGATATAAAAAAATGTAAGAGTTGGAAATGATTTAGATGAGGAAAATAAATCACATTGGTTGAAAATTTGCACAGGCTTAGTTGAAGTTAGACATTAACACCGTTGCATGCCGGCTCAGTGGTCTGAAGGTTAAGGGTTCGCGCGCGAAATTGATGAGTCCTGGATTCGAATCTCACTGGGCGGGGTCGTGGATGGTCACTGCTGTGTAGCCACACAGTATGACGAAACGGCCGTCCAGTGCTTCCAGGTTTTTCATGGCGGTCTAGCTTCACTTGACTGGTGAATTCAATTATTAAATTACTACAATATTCACAAAACAACTCTGATCACACAGGGTAATAAAATGTTGAATATTCACAAGATGATTGAATGGAGATATGGATTGACAATATCGAAGTGAACGATCGCTAATTTTCTCTTTCAAATTATAAAAGATCTCCATCTGCTTTCATCGTTAATAATACTGAAGCACAGTTACTGTTTTATTTCGATAGAAAATACTTAACATTTGAAAATCTTTTTTACTCAAAAATATTGAATTAGAGCTAAATGTTCTTTCAACTAATGTGTTTAGTAAATTGTATTTCTTATCGATAAGTTTCTATTGTAACACCACCTGGAGCCCCTCTGGGGCTACAGCCGGTCCCAAGCCCGGATAAAGGGGGAGGGTTTGACTTGGGGTTAGCGACCGCATCCCGTAGAAAACCAACTCGCTAAAACAACGCTAACCAGAAGTTTTTATTGTAGTTGATACTAGTACCTAGTCATTGATTGTCGTTTTTGCATTTCTCCACTAGTCCAAACACTACTGATAGTATAATGACTGCTAATGAGGTATGGTAACTTGGATCGATGCATATTTGTGCCTGATCCTACATTTTAGATGACTGACTGATAATCATTGAGATAAAACATTGTAATGATGTTGACTTTTTTCAAGCATCGGGATCGGCTGATGTAACAGTAAACTGTAGTTAACACTAAAAGTAGTTATGTGCTAGTTTGAGACTTCAGCATAGAACACTCACCATCCTGTCGGAGGTCAAACTCAGGACCTTCATGTCAAATGGCTTGTACTATATCTTTAGTCGGCGTATAATGATTCATCTTTCTAACTTTAATCCATTTCAAACACCACAGGCAGTGACTATCTTATTTCTTAATTATAAGCGTGATTATATGATGGTTCATGAGCTGCATATTATAACGAAAAAGTTGACCAGCGACGCCTGTAATACCTTAAATGGTGTCAGTTGACAATGAAAAATTACATACTCATTTTAAGTGATAACTGAAACAGTAATTTCTGTAATCTTTAAGATTAAAAAATTCTTTACAGAGATAAACAAAAAAGGGAAAGTGATAACAGTTGTAAAAAGGAAAGATAATCATGAAAATAATTAAGGTCATCGTCAGGACGAAGGAATGAATGACCGAATGAGTTAATAAATAAGATTGAAAGGAAGTGATGGTAACAGTTGGATAATAATAATAATAATTTCATGGGAATTAAAGAGAAATTGATTATTATTATTTCGATGATTCACGAAAGAAGATGATAGATACAACATTATAAGTATGAGAGATTTGTAGTGATTATAACATTTTCACATTTGAAGGCATAAACTGAGAAGTCTCATACCAGGACGAAACAGGCATTCAATAGTTTCATAATTTCGATTATAGTTTAGCCCTCAAATGCCCTGGTACGGCCGAGAGTAGGGAGAGTTAGCTCTCTCTCTCTCCAAATGCTCTCATATGGCCACGCGTATACAGCCACTGCCAGGGAGTATCTACTCGCTGTGTTCTTGTGGTGGGGGTGTTGTTTACGGAATGAAAGGACGAAAAGGTAATGTTCGGCGATTTAACCGACTTGGTCCACATGGAGGAGTTGGACAACCCTCACTCCAAACCAATGGTGAATATGTTCTATAGGATCCTGAGAGAACAAATGGCATATGGACCTGTTTTTGGTCGCTGTCTACCATGAGAGTCCATCTCCTTACATTGTTCCACTGCCTTGTGGATCAGACCTTTAGGTCGAAGGCTGCATAATAAAACCATCTGCTATGGTCTGAGCATCCTGGCAGTATCACAGCCCACTCACAAATCAAGTAACTTGTGTGGCGTATATGTATTCGATGCCCCTTTTTATCAATATTTATGAGTTCAAATACATAAACTGTGAATATGTGACATTAATCAAATTTCTTTATAAAATAATATCTGTCATGTTTAATTATTATCAAAATCATCAATGATGAACAGTTTGAACTTGTGACATTCATATTGTATTTTACAATTAGATAAGATGAAAAATCTATCATATAGAGAAACAACTAATTAACTAGACAATTAAAAATGATAATTAAATGAATTCTGATTTCAGAAGTAAATAAAACAAACCATTGCCAACGAAAGAAAACAGTAAAAAAAAATAGACGATGGAAAAATTTTGTGGATTGGTTGACGTTAGGCATTAACATCACAGGATGCCTGTCCAGTGATCTAGTGGTTAGGCGTTCATGAGCGAGACCAGAAGGTCCTGGATTCGAATCTCACGAGGCGAGATCGTGTCGAATACTAGAACAAAATGGTTGTCCAGTGCTTCCAGGTTTTCCAAGATGGTCTAGCCTCAATTGACTCATAAATTCAACTATTAAGTAGACATAAGGTTAATTTTAGAGCTGATGATGATGATGATGATGATGATGATATGCTCGGATTTCTAATACAATACATCTACGAATGAAATTAAACTAACCAACTGCCTAAGCTCAATTAGATGAAACAAGTCACTGAATTTGTTAATTGAGTAGTTGAAAGTTAAGAAAAACTTAATACAACAAACATTGATGATAGTCAGAATGAAATTAGAATATCATGTATATATATTACTGTTGAATAATACAAAAAAACTTACATTGAATCTTTCTTCAACACCAATATCTGTGTAGATTACACTGTCGGACATATGAATTTTCGGATATACTGTAAGTGTATGTATGTAAAAGAGGAAAATAAACACATATACACACTATACAATAGGATGAATTAGCAAAATGGATATAAATAAGGCAGCTTGTATAAGTTTGTATAGAATGAGTTTACAGAAAATAAATTCCATTTTATGGAAAATAAAAAGCATAACAACGAAATATGACGGTTCCAGTACTATCTATGAAATAAATTGGACTATCTGTGCTAATTATTATTATTATTTGAACACATAGATATTGGTACAAGGAGGCACCAAATAGATATGCACCACACAAATCCAATTTGATTTGTGTGAGGGCTGTGATACTGTACGGGTGCCCAAACCGAAGCAGGTGGTTTACTTAGGAGGCCACATCTGGAGCCTTCGACCTAAACGTCTGATCCACAAGGCAGTGGAGCATTGTGAAGAGATGCAGCCCCATGGAAGCCGGTGACAAATAATTTGTACATACGCCATTAGTTCCTTCAGGATACTGGAGCCCTTATTCACCATTGGTTTGGAATGAGGGTTGTCTAACTCCCCTAGATGGAATCTCTATATTCATCAACGCGGTTAAAGCGCTGGACATTCGCTTTTCATCCTCTCAATTTCGTAAACAACACCTCCGCCACGAGAAACCAGTGAGTAGGACTAGACATTAGATTGAAGAGAATAGATGTTCCCTCCATTAATGCATAAGCTGATACAAACCTCAGACATTATCAATTCTATCGATCTACACAAAACATATATGAATTCGATTGGAATTATAGATTGAGGATGTATGTATGGCACTCAAATTAATCTGTAATCAATAGGTATATCGGTATAGATCCTATTTACAAACTTAAACAAAAGTCAAGAAGAATTTAAAGATAAATTAATATGATGTTTTTGATGGAGTTTTGTTCTCTAAGCTACATGGTTTGGTCGTGAAGATTTCATTGTTCTTCTGAACGACATCATCAGCACAAACTTCTAATCTGATGATCATTGAAGACAACTATTTGTAGATAATTTCATCAGAACAGATTAATTTAGTTAAATAGTTTACTTCATTGATAAATATTGTCAAGAACTCCAGTAAAAGCTTTGTAATTAAACCAGACTAACTCACAGAACCTAACTACCACTCAAAATTATCCACTTCAGTTACTCTTGTCTTAAACATCGTTTTACATTGTACAACTAGCAAAAGTCTAATTATCTAAAAAAATGTGATTCAAGAAAATGCGTGTTCATACTACTAGCATTTATAAACTGTAGTTTACATTATAGTTCGATGAAGTCGAATGTCTCAGTTTTCAAGGTGTTATTTCGCATGCATTAAATGGAGAGCTACATGTTTTTTTCTGGTCACAAATAATTTAAAACACTTAATTGATTTGATTTTTCTTTAAGTATTTTGTGTTTTTTTAAAATCTAGATTGTGAATCCACCGAAGTTAAGAAGTCATTGGATATTCTGGAAAAACTAGAAAGCTGTTTTGTCTTCGTACGGGACTCCTGACCAGTGTTCATCCACGACCATGATGTCAGGTATCGAGTACAGAAATCTAAGTCTCGTGAACGATCTTTTAATTTTTAGACTTCTGAGACAAAGTTCAATGGTTTACAAGTCTAACTTTAGGTTAGTGATTAAAATAATCTTCAACAATGTCTACAACCGTGTTATTGATAATTATTGTGTGCTCAATAGAGTCTAGCTTCGACAGAAAATTTCTAAAGTTCTAATGAGAATCCTTAAGTAATGGAGTTAACCGTGTCAAGTATGAGGAAGGTATTTGCCGAAGATAATAGAAGATGGTCGAAGAATATTTTGTATATATGAACTCACCACATTGACAACTAGTTTAAACATGTTTAGTGACAAATTTACTAACATATAGTTAGAACCTACTTATATGTAAGTAACACTTTAATCTTGTAAAATACTTACCAATTCAGAAACATGCAAATGGGAATGGAGAAGTTAAATTTATAGAATATTCCTTTATTAACATGACAACAAGGTGAGTGACATAAAACTAAGCTAATTAATCCTGATATCTTCTGACCTCTTCAAGGGTCATTACATCTACATCATTATTAGTAAGAGTTTGAATTTATTCGTCCTGGCCAGTTGAACTTAGTAGCTTAGTAGATAACACACTAGTCTTCTGAACCAAAAAAATACTAGGTTTGAGTCCTGATGTGAACATCCAGCTGGTTAGACCAAGATACAACGAAACGTACATCCTAGTTTCCAGTTATTGCTACAAGTTATCTAGTCGCAACAACTCGTGATCCGCATAGGATACACAGGTGTCAACAATGACCGATCAGAATTCAAAGCTGAATATCAACAAGCTCGTAAACTCATACCATAACTGATAATGATTTAAAAAACTGTTAGTGATAGTTTTTTTATGATACATTTATGAGGTTGTATAAAAGAGATGATTTGTAACCACCAGTTAGATTCACGACCTATGTTTCGTTCCATTTGCGACTCATCTGTAACTAGATGTAATTGTATCTCATGGTTGATGTTTAAATGTAATCAAAAATATCCACAGCCTTCATCAATTAAACTGAAACGGATAAATTTGGGTAAGTACAAGAACAATTAAATGCATATAACTTATTGACACAACACAGCTCTGTGTACAAATGTCATAGTTGGGCTTACTGTACTATACTGCAGTATCTAACCACCTAAAATAGTCAACATAGTATAGAAGTGATCTCTCAGGAATTCTTCCAAATGCTCTTTTAATGACTAAGGATTATTTTGTCAATGAATATCATGTTCAAAACAACTTACAGTTGACTTCAAGCATCAATTCTTCAATAACTGGCTTTTGATTAACTGCAGAATGTATGCCCGCTTCACAAATATATACATCACCATGTTGATCAGAACGAATGTTTGACAATTCCAATGGAAGATTAATTAATCGTGTATTGTTTTTACTAACGGATGATTTAAGTTGATGAGAGTGTTTCAAGATTGAACCATTCTAGATTTTGTAAACAAGAAAAAAAGAAAACAGGGAAGAAGAAAACTTCGATAAATTAGAAGAAATTAGTCAATCAGTATTATGTTTAGTAACATAAAACAAACAAATCTCTGTAGTAGGGCTTTGACTTGATTAAACAATACTTAAATATCCCTTGTGAATGAATGGGAAAACTATTTACATCAGTCATTATCAGGATAAGACTTGGGATGAACGGGGACTAGCATAAGTTATAAGACGTAGCATCCATATGGTAAAAATGGGGGGGGGCGAATTTTACAAGTCCATTTGAAAATTATACTTCACACTATATTGTATGACTTATTTGTGGAATAATCTACCATTCATTTTGATGTTGTCTGATAAAGTGAATTCATCATATCTAGGACTGGAGTGAAGTGATTAATAAGTAAAAATAAACTGATGGTTAGATTTATGATAACATTTGCGGTGAGCTATTGGGGCTGAAAATTCTTATTCTAGGATTCATGTCAGCAATGTTATTTAAGAAATAATTTCAATAATAATGGTAAAACTATTCATCATTTGTTTTAAAAAGTTGTACGTTTGGTTGAGTATGTGATAAGTGTAAATTACTACAACTCCGCCTGAAACCCCTATGTGGCTACTGCCGGTCCTAAGCCCAGATAAAGGAAAAGGGTTTGGCATGGAGGTAGCGACCCCATTCCGTAGAAAACTAACTAGTTATAAAAAAAACGCTAACCAGAAAAAAATTAATCAAACCATATTTACTACGGAATATTCTCTACCACCTACTGTCTCAGAGGTGTGTGAACAACACAGAAGGATACACCTTTTAAGACTCTTAACAAGGAAACTAGATTAGTAGAGGTTTCGGTGACTTGAGAGCGTGGTTGCACAGCTTAATGAATCACTACTAAACAAGATTTTCACAGAAGACACAAATCTGTTGAATAAAGCTATTTGTGAAACTTTTCTGGTAAACTTATTGTAACCCCTTCCTTCTTTTGTTGTAGGTAGACAGAAGCACTACTACTACTCCTGCTACATCCAAGTATAGTCAACGGTATAATTCTTCAGTTACTAGTATATATTATTCTCATAAGAAATGCTTTATGATCCGATGACATTCACAGAATTAAAAGTTCATGTAAATTAAATTCAAAAGTACTCTTGTTCCACACACACGCACACACACAGAAAAAGAGAGAGAGAGAGAAGACACTTAATTAACCTAAATGAAAAAGGTTCACACATGAACTTAATGAATATAACAATTTCAACATTTGCTTATTCAACTCATGAACTATTCCATTTCATTATTTCTTCGTCTTCTTTTTCTTTACTACTTAAACTTACTACTGAAATAAAGGTCATTGTCATATGATAATATAAAATTGAATTTAATTAATTAAAATAAATCAGTCAAAGTAAAAAGAATCAACATGTGACTACAATTTGAATGATAAGTACAATTGAATAATTTATTCTATCAGTGAATGTATTACCTTTATAAAAATAAAAGTAAATAAATATACAATGATCACCAACAACAATAAAAAAATGTAGAAGTTCATTGTGAAATTTTTTATAGAAACTCTATATCTAAAGGAAATCATTAAATTACATGATGAGGTAAAGTATTTATATGGAATCCTGAAGGGAAACGAACGTGTAAACAAACTTGAATAGCAACTGGAAACAATTGGAAAAGATTGTCCATAACAGAGTTGAATGAAGAGTAACTGGTAGGAGGCCTATGGTACTTCATAAGGGGTAAACAGGTGTAATTAATATCTAAAGCTGTCTAAATGATACCCAACATAGACTGTGTATACCTTGATGAAGCAATTTGACACTAGAGTCTCTTTTTTTATCTAATAGAAGGTTATCTAAGCGTTTTACAGTAGAATGAATGAAAGTGCACTACGTCATTCTCATATATTTCTGTTCATGGAGAATATCTATAGTAGGGGGTGGATGGTGTAAGAACTAGTATAATCAGTCAGTTCGTCACTCATACATGACATAGAATATAGCATATGTACACACTAGTTCAATTTGTCATACCCTAAATGACATAAACAGATGAAACTGTCATGGCAGATCTTAGAAGTACAAATACAAGTAGTAACAGTATTAATGGGAACACAAAAGATTAGGTATCTAAGACACTATTAGTGAAACAATTGAAAAAATTTTATGGGAAATTCAGAAATGTAACATCTAAGAGAAGCTATAGCCTGAATGGGTCTAAACTATCACAAACGATTTTAAATCTTGTCATTCGAAGTCGCTAACTATTGGTCACGATAACTACGTTGACTCCAACCAGGTAATATGTACTTACTTACATTGCGTAGTTCAATAGTCATTGTCTTCATGAATTGATGTCATGTCCTGATGCAGCTTCCTCTAAATTTCTTTCAACCTATTCCTATACTAGCTATCATCAAGCATCCAAGTAGTCTGTGGATGGCGATACGTATTACATATCTCAGTAGTAAAATAAACAGAATGATTACATTCAAATTCATATTCAGTGGATTAACAAGAAAAACACTATTAATAATCAAATAATCGAATGTCTTGGAGATGATTTACCGAACGCGACTGAGTAGCATATTTAAGAAGTATCTTATCGACAGTGATTTACATAGAATTTAAACATGGTTAATTAACACAGTTAATCAGCCTAGTGAGTAGAACACCGAATACTTTATGGTTGAGTGATCTCGAGTATCTTATATTGTAGTAAAGAGATGAAGTAGATGTGAAAACCTTTAATCTTCGGACGTTGCCTCAACAACTTCCAACCACCTTCTACGTATTTCATTGATTGGGTAATACAACAAAATATAGCATAAAGCAGAATATTTATAAACATGTGCTTGGTTAGTCTGCCAATCAAAATCAAAGTAGAGCTACTCATGAAATTTCGGTTAGCTCAAGTTGTCATAACACATTTACACAAAGAGATAAGACTGACAAGAAGAATAGCAAAACATATAGAAACAATATAGTGGTAGTAATGATAATGAAAAAGACTACTTATTAAGATGGTTAGAAGGGAAAGGCGTGAAGATGAACGTGAATAGATAGGCTCAGTGGGCCAGCAGGTTAGGCGTTCGCGCGCGAGACGGAAGGCCCTGGGTTCGAATCCCGCGAGCGGGGTTGTGGATGTGCACTGCTGAGGAGTCCTACGTTTTCAATAGTGGTCTAACATCAATCGGTTCATGATCTCAACCAAAATTACAAGTGCCCCCTAACGCCATGGTACAGCCGAGAGTGGGGAGTCCGTTCTTCTTCTGTAAATGCTCTCACATGGCCACGCGTATATAGCCTCTACTAGGGAAGTCCTACTCACTGCCTTATCGTGGTGAAGGTGTTGTTTACGAAAATGAGAGGACGAAAAGCGAATGTCCGGCAGGGGCTTGAACTGGATTCCAAACCAATGGTGCACATGGGCTCCAGTATCCTGAAGGAACAAATGGCGTATGAACCAATCGTTGGTCACCGGCTACCATAGGACTGCATCTCCTTACGATGCTCCACTGCCTTGTGGATCAGACGTGTAGGTCAAAGGCTCGGGGTGTGGCCCCCTAAGATAGCCACCTGCTTCGGTCTGGGCACCCGGACAGTATCCCAGCCCTCACACATATCAAATGAGATTTGTGTGGCGCATATCTATTTGGTGCTTCATTGTACCAATGTTTATGTGTTAAAATAAATAAATAAACTAAAACCGGTCCTGAATCTTGTCACCAAACATCTACAACAACTGATCACAGTTATTACCTAACTTTCAACTATAAAAATACATCAACTAACATGACACGGAAGAACGGTCGATAACTACTTAACAGTCTAACGCCACGTTCCGTTTTCGTCCCTCCTTAGTTTTCTTCCAGTACTCACCTATACCAGCAAGCACTTCCGGTCAAAGTAGGCGATGGTTGGAGATATATAATACATGTCTCAGTTAATGAAGATTCATAATTTTATCCACCACTTTACTATATTTATCTGTTACCCTGCAGTATTGCTCATCCGGTTGTTTCCTGAAACACGAGCACTACTTTAAAGATATCCATAATGAAACAGCTGTGATATCCATATATCTTCTGCTTTCATAGACTCCGCTTCATAGTCGTAGAGTAATACAAGATGAATTACTGTACAGTTCACTCACCCTTTGAATGCGATAGACCTCAAATGACATAAGTTGACATAGGTCAACTGAACCTGCTTATTACGTGCTGACATTTCATCAGATCCCAACCAATCAACCAATCAGAACTTATTATACCGTTGTTAATTATCATTACAAAAAATTCTGTGATATTCGATTTTCATACAGACTTTAATCGGATCCTATCATCATAATGAGCTGAACTCAATAAGAGAAGGTAAGGAAATGAGTCATATACAAATTATCACTTAACTAACATGTAATCGCCTAAATAGATAATAATAATAATAATCCATAGACCAAGTATACTTAAATCAACAGAATATTACAAGACATAGACCTATACAGTTGAAGTCTTTCATACAATGAAGCAGTGACCCGTAAGTTGGTTAGTTTTTCCTAATTCTATACTTCAATATAGAAGATAGTGTATCAGGTCAGTTACAAAGATTACATTAAAAATACAGATTTAATGCCTAACAAGACATAATTCTATCAGAATAAATAAAATTAAATAAATAGGAATAATGTGATGCATCCTACCCCACCCCTTCATATTATTATTTTTTCTTCAAAAAAAAGGCGTTCTTTTCAGGTCATATTGAAGGCCTCTTGATGAATATATGTTCATATGTATATGTATGAGCATGAAATGAAATAGGTCTAGTCTTATTCTGCTTCAATAATAGAAATAAGTACTAATTAATATGAATATGAAATGTCAAATAAAAATCAGTGATTTACATTACAGAAGAACAGCAGGTGGGTGGGTGGGTGGTTAGGTGGTTGTGTACGAGGAAGTGATAGAGAAAGAGGAGTAGTAATA